CAACTCAAAATTGTGAAGAAAAGGAAAGCTACAGTGCGTCGATGAACCTAGTCCATCAAGAAAGTGAAGTGAAGAATTGCAATTCTGAAGGTGGAGTAGTTCATAGTTTGATAGTGTTGAATCTAGTAATATTTGCAGTTTACATGCTATGTAAAACCTATGTACTGTTGTTTAATTAGTGAACATAAGAGTACAATGTATAAGCTGGTAAAGTTCGGGTTATTCGTGAATATAGTACGCTTTGTCCACCAAATAAGTACAATTTATAAGCTGGTAAAGTTCGGGTTATTCGTGAATATAGTACGCTTTGTTCACCAAATAAGTACAATGTATAAGCTGGTAAAGTTTGGGTTATTCGTGAATATAGTACGCTTTGTTCATCAACTAAGTACAATGAATACACATGTGAAGTACAAGTGATTCGTGACTATAGTACGATTTGTTCACTGATAAAGTATATGTTTGCCATTTATATAGTATTGTTACAGTCTATATATTATTGTCGGTCCAATGCATCCTATTGATCGCATTTTAAGACACAACTCTTCATTTTAAGACTATTAAGAATGAATGGAGACAATGTGGGAGTTGATCAATATCGATTATGGTAACAATTGAAAAAAAAAAAAAAAAAAAAAAAAACAATTGAAGAAAATATTAGTTTTACACTTGAGCATTGTAGACTTGTATGAATATATTGTATAGTATATGAGTATCATGTATGAAATTCAACATATTTATGGGATCTTGTATTCCAAACGCAACAATAATTCTCACCTACCTTAAAATAACCATCTAAAACATAATTTATGCATCTCCCGTACTTATTGATCATTAAAGCGTCAATGAAATTGGTACAATTCAATTCATCAAAAAATATGGTACGCTTTGTTCATCAAGTAAGTACAATGAATACACTTGTGAAGTACAAGTGATTCGTGACTATAGTACGATTTGTTCACTGATAAAGTATATGTTTGCCATTCATATAGTATTGTTACATTCTATATATTATTGTCGGGCCAATGCATCCATATGATCGCATTTTAAGACACAACTCTTCATTTTAAGACTATTAAAAATGAATGGAGACAATGTGGGAGTTGATGAATATCGATTATGGTAACAATTGAAGAAAATATTAGTTTTACACTTGAGCATTGTAGACTTGTATGAATATATTGTATAGTATATGAGTATCATGTATGAAATTCAACATATTTATGGGATCTTGTATTCCAAACGCAACAATAATTCTCACCTACCTTAAAATAACCATCGAAAACATAATTTATGCATCTCCCGTACTTATTGATCATTAAAGCGTCAATGAAATTGGTACAATTCAATTCATCAAAAAATATGGTACACTTTGATCATTGACTGCAATCTTCTTTTACATCAATTCCTGCAATTACATACACATAAAACTACAATTATAACAAATACAACATACTATAAAGTTCCACATGTCAATACCATCCAAAGTTACTAGTAATACCATTCAAAGGCACTAGTAATACTATTATGGCATATGACTTATACTACAGGACCATCAAACATTATACTTCTAGTACCATATGTCAATACCATCCAAAGTCACTAGTAATACCATTCAAAGGCACTAGTAATACTATTATGGCATATGACTTATACTACTACAGGAGCATCAAACATTATACTTCTAGTACCATATGTCAATACCATCCAAAGTCACTAGTAATACCATTCAAATGCACTAGTAATACTATTGTGGCATATGACACATACTACAGAACCATCAAAGATTATACTTCCAGTACCCTGTGTTAATACCGTCCGAAGTCAAGAGCAATACCATTATTACATATGACATATCCCTTGTTGGGACTAAATGCTTTCGGGACAGTACTTCGAGTACCCTGTGTCAATACCATTTAAATGCACTATTAATACCATTACTGTCCATGACACATACTATAGAACCAGTACGAAAAATACAATAAGCCTCTTTCCCATATCCTATATGAAACCCTTGTTAAGACTCAAAATACTTTGGGGACATGCTAATGTCACCGAAGAATAATACCCATGAGGAAACTGTTACAAAATCATGAAATTCGACAACAAATAAATGATCTTTGCAAACCCAAACAACAAAAAAACAGATATTGGAACCGATTTAATGATTAGGGAAAACACCGAATAAAGTCGAGGCATAATACCCATGAGAGGATATGTTCAAAATCATGCAATTCTACAACAAATAAACCTTTTTGCAAGCTTAATTAGGCAACACCCAAATGGGTCTGTTTCCAAGAAAATGAAAGAAAAAAAAAATCAAACCTTGTTGTTTACCCTGCTTCACCATTGTCGAGAAATGGGTTTGTTTATTTTTATTTTTCCTTTCGTTGTATAATTTTTCTGCGTTTTGTTGATTTTTCGTGCTTCGTTGTTTCTTCCTTCTTTGTTGTTTCTTTGTTCTTCGTTTCTTCTCCGTTTCTTCTTTGTCTGTAAATGGGTATAAACTGAACGGTGGTTTTTTTCCTGCGCCTTTTTAGCTTCTTTCTTGTTGTTTGATTTTTGAAATGTAACGGGCAAAGAGCGTGTAACACAAACGGCGCGTTGGAGGTTGGAAATAAGTTATGTAAAATTAGTATAAAGTAAAGGGTATTTTAGTATTTGCACATTTTATTAGGGACTGAACTGCATGTTAGGCGCGTGAGTAGAGACTGAATTGCTTGGGGAAACTACCTAGGGACTGATCTGTGTGTTGAGTTTTGGATTAGGGATTTATCTGTAGTTTCCCCTCCACTATAGGTTCTTCATTAAAAAAAAAAAAGAAAAAGAAAAAAAGTAGGAGAAGAATACATACAGAAATACAGATAGATAGATACAGAAGGAATTCGGTCAGCTTGTTGAGAGAGAGAGAGAGAGAGAGAGAGAGAGAGAGAGAGATGGCGAATAGACGGATTGGGAAGACGATACCCTGCTCTGCATTCAGTGTTTTTATTCTGCTACTCTCCTCTGCTACTTCTCAATCACAACCTAACCAGGTAATTATTTTTCTTGCTAGATCCTCCTCCAATTAATAAAATTTTGAAACTATAATCATTATTATTGAAATTGGGGATTTTTTTCAATTCAATTCGATCTTTACCCGTTTATATGGGTTTCTGTTTTCATTCGAAAAAAGATATGAATCTTGCTTTTAACTTCACATAATATTTGGGGATTTTAGGTTTTTTTTTAGTTGCCACTCTAATTCAATTACAGCAAGTAGTCCAAGAACCCTAGAAAAAGAAACAGAAATCGATAAATCAACAAGTTATTAGGAGCAGGCTCAGAAATTTAATCCAATTAATCAACCGTGTACGTTTTTATGAACCTTAAATCAGAAAGTATGATTCTTGGTTCTGATCGAGTTTGCAAATTCTAGTAATCAAGTGTGTGACATGGTTAATTAGTTTTACACGTTCGATTTTGACCGTCTCTCGTTCACTTAAACACTTTCGATTTTTACGTATGTGCAGGGTATTGACATTGATCCTTCAAGGTAACATTTCCTGTCATTATATTTAAAGTCATATGCTGATTTTCTCTTCTTTAGAAAAATAATAAAAAAAATTAAACCTTTATATTTTCCGGTTATTTTGTGGGTCGGGGAATTATTGTTTCTAAGTAGTATTTAGCAACAAATCAAGAATCTTTTAACTTCTAGCATGTGGCATTCATAGTTCTGGTGTCTTCTAATTTTATTGTTGTTTCGATACTTAGAAATATTAAAGAACAGCACCCTGAAGTTCATTGTTCAAGAGAAAGGAGTCGAGCCGCATGGAAAATAATAGAGGAAGTATGTAAAAGTTGCAAATTATCTTTGCCGATAAATTTATAGCAACCCCGTTTTTTTGACTTACTAACTTTGAACACTACTAATTTGCAGTATCTGATACCTTTTATGGAAAAAGAAAAGTATCAACTTTCAAGCCGATGCAGACTTCATCAAAGCAACGATATATTTAGAGAACAAGAGGAGCACAAAATTCATGTCGACATAAACGAATATCGATGTGGGTATTGTAAGAAAGTCTTTCGAGCAGAAATATATTTGGACCAGCATTTCGACAACCGGCACTACAATCTTCTAAACGTTGTACGTGTGATAGTTTCTGTGCTTTCCTTTCTTTATCCCCCTAAATGTCATTTATGGATTTTCTTTAATATATATATATATATATATATATATATATATATATATATATTTGATCTTCGTTTACATCAACGTTGCCATGTTGCAATATTCTTTCCCCTTTATATATATATGTGAGAGTAAGAGGCATATAGGAATTCGAGAATACTACAATTTATGTAACCAAGACATATATACCTATAATTGAAGCAAATATGAAGTAAATAAATCATTAATTAATTTAAAATTATCAGTTCGAATTAATTTCCCATTTCCAAAATCACACTCAGAGTGCATTTATTAATATTGGTTGAACTCACCACTTTGCATGCCTAGAATTTTTTTTTTTGTTTTTAGCTGATAATTTATAATTAATTAATCAATTAATTAATGAATGCAGCTTCTAGAACCTCAAGGATGGTGAGTGCACTCGAGAAAGCTCCGCTCGAAGATGGTTACGTATCGTACCCATGGGAGCATAGAATGCACGAGATGCTCTCGGTTCCGAATTCAAGCACATTCTATTCCATTAATTGCTGCTCTGCACTCGCGTCTCCTCCGAGCGGCGATTAGACATCAATTGAAGTGGTTGAAATTATTAATTGCCTAATGTATTACTTGCGTTCCCACAAGAGAAAACAGGAAGAGGAGAGAAAGACGAAGAGGAAGACGAGGAAGACGAAGTGGATTACTTGCGACCCGACCGCCGAGTCCATTGCTTCTAGTAGCACTCCGGTAAATTGTGTTCTGCTTTTCTCTGTTTTTTCGAAATAATGTTGGTCTTAGTGTCATATACTTTGGAGGTGCGATATACTTTCGTAAATTTCTACTATTCGCTTAGCCACTTTTTTTGCAGCTTTTTCGTTTGTTAGAAAGCTGTTTAGAGGTTGTAATAGGAAGGAAACATCCTTTTTTGTGTGGCTCTGCTTTTCTCTGTTTTTTCGAAATTATGTTGGTCTTAGTGTCATATACTTTGGAGGTGCGATATACTTTCTTAAGCAGAAATCGAAGCGACAAAAAGAGGTGAAATCGTAAATTTCTACTATAAGCCGCTAGTTCTAGTTTTGGGTCCATGAACACGAGTCTTCAATGGTTTAGTACCCTCAGCGAAGTTTAGCCACTTTTTTTGCAGTTTTTTCGTTTGTTAGAAAGCTGTTTAGAGGTTCTAATAGGAAGGAAATATCCTTTTTGTGTGGCTATCTTAGCTGAGAGGTTAACTGTGGGTGCTGGACTTTGAAGATTCTTGCAAGTGGCCCTGTTTTTAATGTTTTTAGCTTCTGAACTACTAGCTAGGGTTGAAGCTTGTCCTGTGGATATTTGTAGTGTCTTTGTTAAGGTTGTTTTACGGTTGCTTTTGGCAGTTTCACAGAATGTGCTTTGGCCGTGGGAGCAATTTGTTTTGCTCTGCCATGACGACCAATTTTTATTTTGCCGAGCACTAGTTTTGCAGGTTTCT